CCAATCAGCCGCTTCGACTCTGGCCCGCCTGCAGTATCGGCTGCTCGTCGGCCGGGCAGCCCGACGCGCCGCTGCCGGCGCCGCCGGGCAGCCGGCCGGCCGCTCGACTGTCCGGCCGGTGGCCGTGGGCGGGTCTGCCGCCGCTGCGGCGAGCTCGTCTCGTCGCTGGTGCCGCCGCCGACAGCGTCGTCGGCCTCGACGCCGAGCAGCGGAATGAGCGGCGGCTCGACGTCGATCCGCCCGGTCCGCGGCCTCTCGTCGGGGCTCCCGCCCTCGCCGGCGTAGGGTGAGACCTCGGCGGTAGCGGAGTCAATGGGCGCGAGGGGGTGCCCATGCGCAACTCGCGGGACCGCCGACGACTTGTCGCGGCGGCGGCGGGCCGCAGCTGCACGAGCCTTGGCCGCCGCTTCCTCGGCAACCACCGCAGCGGTGGTGGGGTGGTCTGCGCCGAGCGCCGAGGTCGCGGCGTCGACGGCGTTGGCGTGGGCCTTGAGCGCGGCAGGGATGTTGCCCATCCGCTCCAGCTCGAGCCCGATGTTGTGATGAGCCATGGCAGCAAGCTCCGGATGCGGCTCTGGCCCCATAGCAACCAGAGCCATCTGGTAGTGGCGAATAGCAGCGGCCGGATTGCGAGTCCGGGCCAGGAGCGAGGCCAGCAGCAGATGCGTCCGCTCGGGAGCGTAGCACTCGTCCAAGCCGAGTTCGATCTTGTACGCCTTGTTTGCATACTCAAGAGCAGCATGACACTGGGCACGCTCAGCATAATAGCGAGCCAGAGCAAGAAGAGCCTGTGCTCGCACAGCCTTGCGGATGACAGCCGGCTCGTCTGTCCGTCGCCGCCACTTTTTGATGCTCGTCACGCTCTCCGCCGCCGAGAGTGTCCTCAGCGCCGTTTCACTGTCGCCATTGCCCAGCGCATACAGCCCTGCGTCCACCATCTCCAGCACGTATTCCTCCATGCTCGGGCCCGACTCATCGCCCTGGTCGCCATCGTGGTCGTTGTACTGCTCGTCCTGCTCGTCCTGCTCGTTCTGGTCGTCCTGGTCGTCCTGCTCGTCCTGGTCGACCTGGTCGACCTGGTTGTCGTTGGCCATGTTCTCAACCGTGTCCGGAGCGGTGACCGGAGTGTTGGGGGTTGGCCATTGTGTGA